AGTGAAGCATTCATTAATTTAAAGGTGCCTTTTTCTGCGTTTCTACCTCCACAGAATCAACCAATCAGGAGGCTTCTGTTAGTAGCATTTTATTTATCCTCACTCTGGCGCCATCAGGTGTGCGCAGGTGCTTTGTACTGAAAGGCAAAGACCCTACAATCATACAAAGTAACCCCACCCACTTCCTGTAAACACTGTACAAAGACACAGGAGAGACTTTTGGAACGCCCCCCCATGTCCTTTTCTTCTGCCGGCTGTGGGTGTAAAGGGGTTGGGATAGGTTAGGATCCAGGCTGCTATGATTCCTGTTTGCTGTTATGAGGGGAGATGTTATCAGAACGTGTGATTGCATGATCACCTTGGTCACCTATAGCATGTCAGAGTTTCTGGCTTCGATCCTAAGCCCGTTGGTCGGCAGCTCTGAACATCCAGACATGTTGAGTCATTATGGAGGCAGATGAAACCATGGTCTCATTCCATGTTACACCTCTCTTCACTTGCATCCCAGTCACTGAAGTGTTGGAGGTAGTTCGTAGTAGAGCAGGGCGATATGGCCAAAAATATTTATCACGATATATATTTGAAAATTTGCGATAACAATATAACTGACAAATTGAAAATAAAACAACAAACCCATCCATTTATTTTCACTTAAACAAGCAGCTGTTTTTTTGTGCATTAAAGCTATAAAAACATTTAACAGTGCAAATGTAATGTAATAAATTCTGTTTTCATGGATGCCTGGATGTTAAACTTCATAGTTACACCTGGTAAAACAGCAACGCTGATCATTTTACTAAAGATGAAAGAATTTAGACAGTTATCAACCACTTCAGCCCCATGCCCCTGGTACCGGGGGCAAAACGGAGGAGATCACGTTTAATTGGTTATAACACAGGGTGAGAAATATAAGTCCAGACATGTGTGGTGTCCACAGAAACCTCTGAATCTCAGCTAAAATGTCATATAAACCATTTCTACAACCACCAAACACATTGAAAACAAGCCATGATTAAACGAGCAGTTATGTAAATGCACAGAAGACTGCTAAACAAACAAAACCGAACCGGAAATTCTCCAGACTTCATGTAACCGGCTAAAGATAGGCTGGTTAGCTTCCAGGGCTATCACTGACTCCACACACCAAGTTTCACCACGATCAGACCAAAATTCACTGAATGATCCGCAAAATAAAACCACAAAAAACACACAGCGGCGCAAATACGCTAAGACAGAGATTGGCTTACCCAGGGCTGTAATTTTTCACTGTTTCACTTTAGAAACATAAATCTTTGCACAGATGATGTTCATATGTTGGTTACTGAAATTCTGGAACCAAATGTGATCTGAGGCATATTTTTAAAAGGGTTATATGCTAAAAATTTTAAAAAGAATTACGCGAGGATAAAATCTACTTACTTTTTCTGTGTTCCAGTCTCAGTAACTTTGACACAGTAATATCTGCTTCAATATTTACACCTCTGATGAAATCTCACAAGTGTTAGCTTTATTTTGATACCAAGATTGTAAGCACAGAGTTTGTAATTGCAGAGAAATAATCAATTAAATTTGGGCATTGCATTTTCGAGCATGAAGCTCAGAAACCCCCTTGGGGCTTAAGAGGTTAACTCTCAGTGATGGTGCAGTGTTCGTTTGACTTTGGGACCTGAAGCTGACAGACCCAGATTACTCCCTGATTTAAGAGCACCTCCGTCCGACAAATATGGGAATAACGACGCCCGCTTGCATGTTCTACAAAAAAAAAAAAAAAAGTGCTTTGTTGTGTATCTGGCAGACAACACCAAACCAGTTCCACATCACTGAAGTTGCAGCATTTTTACAAACCAATTCTGGTTCATCCGTTTCACTCAACAAGCCGCTTTCCCCCTTCTCATTCTCTGTTGCTGCCATGCTTTTTCCACCATGTGCGTATTATAAACAAAGGCACTGCGCGTGCATGTTTTACCCGTATTCTATCACAATATTTTATTTTGTTATCATTGCCTAACATTGTACCGGTATTACCGTGAACGGTATAATATGGCCCAGTCCTAGTTCGTAAGAGATTACAGGATAACCCCAACCTCAGCAACAGGACCACTCTCAGCATCGACTACATGTGTTTGAACTGTGTCTTCATTTCATCCGTTTCAGAAGTGGAGAAGAGGGCTTTGCTATCCTACCCTGGAACATCACCAAGCCATTGGTTCAGGTATGTGGATGACACCTGGGTGAAAATCAAATCTCAGGATTTTCCACAATTCACGGATCACATTAACTCGGTGGACCGACACATCAAATTCACCAGGGAGGATATGAAAAGTGGCAGGTTAGCCTTCTTAGACTGTGAGATTTCCATCAGTAATGGGGGACATCTAAAAGCTGAGGCACAACCGCCGCCCAAGCGAAAACCTGTAGTGATCCCGTACGTGTCAGGAGTATCGGAGCAGCTGAGACACATTTTTTCTAAACAACGCGTCTCTGTGCCTTTTAAACCCCAAAAATTGGCCCACCCCAAGGATCTGACAGCCCATTGTTCCTTCAGTGGTGCTAGTTTTAGTCATTGTGCAAATGTCCCGTTTATAAGGTTGGAAACCTGCAGTCAGCTGAGACTGAAGAAGTTACCTGGATGACGACGAAGGGTCCAGATGAATAGCATCAACCTTTTGAGAAGTGCATGTGTGGCGCGGCTGTGGGAGACGCGGACACACCCGAGCAGCAACCGCGCCTCAACAGCTTCAAAGCAGAGTGCACTGGGTCCCGTTGTTGTCGTTGGTGTGTGTTAGACAGCAACTGAAAAGCTGCAGCCGTGTGTGAGGTACAACAACCAGAAATAAAAGTGCTGAAAATGTGGTCGTCTCTGCCACGCGTCTGTCACAGTACAATTAGCTCAGACCTCTGTGTGTTTACAGCAAAGCTTGTCATTAAAGCAGGATTTCACAGCAGCAACAAACTGAACTCAGCTTATTTTTCACAGCAGTGTGCACACACAGCGCCTCTCTGCAGTAAACAAGTGAAACAAAGATAAGTGTGTTAGTCTGTCGGATTATTGACTGAGTGTCTGTGCTACTGAAGCACAGTAACACAAGTGCTGTCATCACTCGAGCTGCTCTCAGCTGACTGACGGTGTCATGGACGTGAAACGGCTGTAAATAAATTCTATCAGAGACTGCAGCACAGATAAACTCTCAGCAGCTCACTGCACCAGACGGAAAATGTTGTTATAATGAACATTGATCCATTGTTCCAGTCTGCTGCTATGAATTATGGGATAGCGTTTTCTGCTCCCCTTTCATAAAGAACACTCCAGTGTCTCCTCTGCTAAAGGAGGCAATAAAGGAAGCATTAAAGATCCTTTCCTCAGACAGCTCTGATTACGGCCTCCTGGCAACAAACATTCCTACACAAAACAACTCAGGCGAAATGTCTGCCTCACCTGATCTCCAGGCAGCCTGAAAGTCTCTGTTATCGACCTCGCTGCAGAGTGCGAGCACACCTGTGACCGTTCTGTCACACTGAAACCTCAATGTTCTGCTTCTGCTTGTCAAGGCGTCGACTCACCTGCAGCAGCAGCATCAGCTCCGTGTTCTGGATGTCCATGGCGATGTCGAATGGCGTCTTGTCGAATTTGCTGAGCGCGTGTACGTCAGCGCCGTGCTTGATGAGCGTTTCAGCCACGCTGTGGTGCCCATGCTGTGCTGCCCAGTGCAGCGCCGTCATCTTCAGCATGTCTTTGGCGTTGATGTCAGCGCCGTTCTAAAAGGGAGGTCCACATATGTCAAAGATCACAGCGCTTAGAGCACACAGAGCCTTCCAATGAAGACAAGCCGTCTTACCCGGACCAGCAGCTCCACGATGACCGTGTGTCCCTCGGCGGCAGCCATATGCAGCGGGGTGCGGTCCACTTTGGTGCGGGCGTCTCTGCTGACACCGGCCCTCAGCAGGACGTCGGCAGTGGAGTAATGGCCGTGCTGAGCGGCCAGGTGGAGCGGGGACGTCCCAAGCTGAAGGTGAGTGAGAAGGAGCCAGAACAGGTGAGCTCAGGTGCAGCTTTCTATCTCAGAGTCTCAGAAACAACTCTTTTTCAAGGTTCAAGTCCCATCCTTCATCCACTCACTTCCGCGTATCCTGTTCAGGGGCGCTGGAGCCTATCCCAGCTGTCTTAGGGTGAGAGGCGGGGTACACCCTGGACAGGTTGCCATTCTGTTGCAGGGCTAACACATAGACACAGGCAACCACTCACATTCACACCTAACTTTAACCTAACCCGCTAACAAGTCTTTGGACTGTGGGAGGACGCCGGAGTACCCGGAGAGAACCCACGCAAACACGGGGAGAACACGCAAACTAGACACAGAAAGACCCCGGCCTGATGGTGGAACTGAACTCTTGCTGTGAGGCAACAGTGCTAACCACTGTGCCGCCTGCTGACGTTCCCATCCCATTATTAGTGCTATTTAAAAAAAAAAAAAAAAAAAAAGCATGCAGCCGAGTCTCACCCAGTCAGTGGTGAACGGCGCCCCGTTGGCCATCAAATTTCGAACTTCGTCATCCTGACCTTTCCGGGCTGCCTCCAGCAGCCGCTTCCCCAAATCGACCAGCGACATCTGCAGAAAGGGATCGATACAGCTGATCAATTCTCCCAATCAGTAACTTCAGGCATCCTCAAACAGCCAATGGAAGCTGCAGTGTCCATCCTTTATTTGCAGGGTGTTATTTATGACCAACAAAAACCTTTAATTCAACATTTCTTAAAAACACTGTTTAACTTCTCTCAGCCTGTCTGATTAAACAGCTCCTTCAAACGTACCAGCTCGCTTATCTGAAGCTAACAGTTAGGTATCTATTATCGGACACACACGGTTCATCTGCGCCTGCTCCGTCGGTAAGGCTCAAGTTGAAGTTGCCCGCTTATGTTTTAAGAGCAGAAATGTAAAGTGTGTTTGCTAACATCTACTCATGTGCAGTGGGTTAGCTCCTCTTTAAAAGACACAAAGAACAAAAACCTGTGTGTGTCGGATAACGGGTCCGTAGCTGAGGGTTTAGCACGGCAGGGCTACAGAAACCTGCTAAAGTGCACCAGGGGGCTGACTGAACCCCCCAGGCCCGCTGTGAGCGGGTTGTGGAGGCTCACACCCGACCGAATGCTTTTATTTTACCAGAACGTGCCCCAGGCCGTGTCCGATAATGGAAATCGGGTAGTCACACCGCTCTCGTGATTGCGAAACAGCAAAGAAGGACGAGATTTCTCTCCGCGGCCGAGGAGCCATTTTAGGCGCCTCGACGGGCAGAAAAATTCCGCCATGAGCTGCGTCGCCCTGCACAGCCTGTCTGTGCTCTTCTTCGCCACCCGCACCGCCGCCACGGTCACAGCAACACCGACAGGAAACCGTTTGATATTAAGTTGTTGGTTTTCCGGGGGAAGTCACACAGAAATTTCCTATTTTACACGCGGAGAAAAAACTACTTCCACATCCGGTTAGTCGGTGTTGTCGGAGCGCGCGCAGTCATACCGCTCACCGGAGCCTCGTGCGGAAAGGTTGACTCCGGCGCGCGCAATTCC